TGTTATTTTATTAGTAATAATTATTAGGATTTCAGTAATACTCATTGTTTTAAGATGTTAGATGTTTAGTTTGCATTATGAATGATACTTTATAGATAATATTGGTTGTGTTATAAAACACATGTTGTTCAATTAAATTTATTTTATTATTCTTTGTTCCAAAAAACGTTTTAGCGACAATGATCAATGGTGTTTTCCCTAATGACAATGGCAAGATGTAGCATGGGAATGATGAAGTATTAACTGGGTCATGTTGCTGTTTTTCGTTTGTAGTTTTGGTGTTTCAGTGATGAACAAGCATAACTTATTTCCTAGACAGTTCTATTATCATATAGAGTGTGCAGGAATCTCACTTATGCTCTTGCACAACATTGACTGACAATATTAATTTTGCAACAAATGAACTTCCTCTTTCATAGACATACACCATTTTGATACTTTCATCAATACCATAATCCACTTGGGCACAACACACACAACATCATTTGTAGAAAAGACAATTGAAGTCCCTCAAATGGACAAGGATAATGAATGGAAGTATGAGTTATACACAGGTAAACATTGCAAAGGTATAATAACCAAACTTGAGTAGTGAAGAATTTATCTACAGTGTGCATGACAGCTGTCATTCACAAAGATTTCTTTCGTCAATTTTTTTTCCAACTGGAGTAACGACTATTTTCAATCAAATGAAGAAATGACAGCTGTCATTCACATGATTTCTTCTGTCAAACTTTTGTTTCAACCAGACAAAATGACAGCATTTCACTTAGAAGCGTATTATGCAAGGTAAGGTGGTTTTAGGGTTTTTTTTAAACACATTCTAAATTCTCATACACAGGTAATCCAAATATGTAAAACACTACAGTAAGTGTGCACATAACTTACCCTAGCAGATATCGATAAGTTAGTCTGTGGAGAGTTTGGTCGTTTCTGTAGGTTACTACCATCGCTAGTATGCTTATTAGTGATTGACCTTCTTCTTGCTAGAATTCTCTCTAATGTGCTTGTTCTTGGTCTCTGCTAACAGGAACGTAATGATTCATTTAATGAATATTAGACTTGCCGTACACAGGGTCCGTGCAGAGTATCAAAAACGAAATTTAAGGACTTTTCAAGGACTTTTCCAGGACCAAAATTGTATTTTCAAGGAGCATCAAATTCATGCTAATTGTACATTCTTACCTCAAAACTTCAGCCCAACGGAATAATTCAGAGATCGCTAGCGCTTCGTGATAGAGATCCATATTTTTCAAAGAGTTTTCAAGGACTTTTTCGAAATTTTCAAATTTTCAAGGAGTTTCAAGTGCCCTTGAAAACGAGTTTTCAATTCAAGCACTTTTCAAGGATTTAAGGACCTACACGGACCCTGCGTACACTCATAACAGGACTCTTATTTAGGTTCATCATGAACAGTATGAAGCGAATCTCATAAGTGGTTTAAAAACCAATGGGCAAACAATAGTAACGTGTATATATATGCTATTTCAAACAACAAAGCAATCATCTTAACCTAACAAAAGAGGTTTTGCACTAACTAGCAATCAAAAAGCAGGTTTTGAAGGGTTCATGATAACTGGCAGTTTAGGGCAGTCATCAAGCTACCACCCTTACATGCTTTGATTTAAGTATAGAAATATTTAATTAAGGAATAAAAGACGGAATTCCGTGTTTGATACTCTGATCAAAACACTTGGGATGTAGGGAGAGCACTCGAAAAGCTGGAAACCGCTCCGCTACGGTTTCCTACGCTTCTCTCGTGCTCTCCCTACATCCCGCGTGTTTTGATCAGAGTATCAAACACGGAATATCGTCTTTTATTTCTTTTCTAAAATTAAAAGAAAAAAAGAAATTTTTGACGTGCGCGAGCGTGTTTTGATACTGTAATCAAACATGGTTTTCGACCAATCACAGCGCGCGTGTAGTATCCTAAATATTTTAGAATACATCATAATATACTCTTTAATACCACTTTTAGCTTTATGAATGGATTTGCATTAGATCAATAATATTATGCTACATGTATAGAGCAGCTATTTTAGCAAAGCATCTGTTAATAGACTTGCTACCAATCTCCCAAAGTATGAAATCAGGCAATGAACTTAGACAAGGGAACATGAGTTTATTTTTTTCCTGCTTTTATACCTCATTTTCTTTGCGTTCTTTAAGTACAGCCTGTCTCTTGATGTTAGCATTCTGGGAGTCCAAAAGTGCTCGTTTTCGCTTCCAGTCTGCAGCAGTGTGGCTCGCAAGAATAACTGGGTTTTTTAGTCCCCAATAAACACGTAGGACACCTTCTAGGATTAGCTGGCCATTGGCCTACGAAGACAAAAAACATGAATAAATACATGAATAAATGAGTGAATTGATGAAAGAATGAATGAATAAATACATGAATAAATGAGTGAATTGATGAAAGAATGAGCCAATGTATCAGTCAAAATGAATGAAAAATGGATGGAGGAATGAATAAGAGAAATGCTTACTGGTAATTGAATGAAAGTCTCAAAAAAAATAAATGAAAGAACGAAAAGTTGAATGTTGGCTGAATACATATCCAAATAAACTGAATAAATACATGAATGAATGAATTGATGAAAGAATGAGCCAATGTATCAGACAAAATGAATGAAAAATAGATGGAAGAATTAATAAGAGAAATGCTTACCGGTAATTGAATGAAAGTCTCAAAAAAAATAAATGAAAGAACGAAAAGTTGAATGGTTGGCTGAATACATATCCAAATAAATGGACTTATAAATAATGAAACAAAAATTTACAAACTAAGGATAAACAAATGAACAAATGATTAAATAATGAAATGGATGGATGAATGAATGAATGTGTCACTGAAAGAAAGAACGGAAAATTGGATGAATGAAAATAGAAAGGGATGGATGGGTGAACGCAATGAATATCACCAGTAAGAAAGAAATTATGTATAATTATAAACTGTAATATAAATATTATACAATGCACAGAACTGTACCTCGCGACATGCTAACTGCAGAGCCTTGCGGCTTTCAAAGTAAGTGTTGTACCCTCGTAATCTTGGGAATATATCATTCCTGGAACCATGATCATAACATTCAGAGTTTTCATTGACAGGAATAAACGCACCAAATGATAGCTAGTGTTTGTGGACTAAAGGAGTATGTATGTTGTATTTACTCAAATTGTAGTAATGTCTTTGTACAATATACACCCGATTTCAAAAAACGTCATCACCAGGACACAGTTAACAGTCTTCAGCCTGCAAAGAATCTTGGGATTGGCATGTATAATTACATTTCATTTTCAATTTTTCAAAATTCTCGGTCTTGTAGCAAATGTAGCTTTGAAGCCTACTGACGGTTTGAAAATGTGGAACATTATTCAAGGAAAATGTCAGTAGTGTTTTTAGCCATTGAATTCAAACCACAAAGGCAAATATATTTTGAATATATTAATTACGCATGGAAATCCCAAGATTCTTTGCAGGCTGAAGACTGTGCCTTGTGTCCTAGCAACGACATATGTGCATAGTGATGCTGCCATAGCAACAAACATACCTTAAAGCATCAACCTCTGCTTGGGAAAGCTTCTCTTCATCGTGATATTTATGAGACTCGGTGCCACCATGGCCATACCCTCCTGGACCAAATAAGAAACTGTAGCAGGGTATGTTGCAGTAAGGAATCCCACGGTGCTATAAACAAACAAACATCACCTCCATTATATGCTTGTTTCTGATTGACTGATTGAAGTGTAAATATTTGGTATACCACGACAAAAAGACAACAAAATGTGATGAGAAGAACAGTCACACCACTCAACTTCATCTCATACATAAGTCATACTTTTTGGTTTCTCATTTTAACATTTAAGAATACAGATGGAATCTAACTGGGTACGAAGTCTCTTAGACCATGTTCTGGCAGTCAATCATGCTGTACTGTTTTCATAAAGGACTCAAGAATAAATCCTGCATAAATAGGGTACCACAATTTCATAATAAAAGTATTACAATCATTATACCAAAATAGCACATTGGATTTAACATTGAATATTTAAGTTTAAGTGATATTTTGAGGACTGCATAAAATTAGATTGTTTTTTGATTGGTCGATAGATTAAGTTGAATTATCTGATTGGTTAATTGATTTACTGCAATGCCATTTTGAATATGATCAATGTGAACAAGATCTACATGTAACTGACTTCATAAGCTACACCGTTAAGATTGCTCCTTAGTTTCATGATGGATGATGGAAGTGATATATACTACTAATAATAATCAATAATAATAATCTAAGCTTATACAACTTTTCAGTAAAATCAGACGTTTTGATTGGTTGGCTTTCGTGTGTTATCAAAGTATAGATACACGGATTACGTCAAAACTAATTGTTTGTTGACGTATAAAACAGATAGATCTCATTTTTCCGTGCGTGTGTACTCTAATAGATACACAGCACGCACAGAAAAATGAGATCTATTTGTTAAATAGAGCCTAATATATATAGCTTTTTCTGTCTCTGTTTCTGTCTTATAATGTCTTATATAATCAAAAACGACGACAACAACAATGTAAAAACAACTCTGTATACCACATGATCAAAATTGATCAAAACACAAAGATAAAAGCATTTCCTATCTGGCAGATAACCAAAA